GATGATTAATTACTCGCCTACAGCCTCGCTGCATACATAATGAGCTTGTAACACACAAAGAAACCATTGGGGCACTTTTACCACTGAGTGAATTGGTAATGTGTTTGAAATCGACCATTGCTATTTTTCAAACGTTTTATTACCCTACAAAGTATAGTAATGTTTTTAATAGGTCAAATAGTTATGTATAATGTGAAAGGTGTCGCTTGTAGTGACAAATCCACAGAGAATCTTCACCATGTTAGCCTCCTTCAGCTCATTGTTTTGATTTCATGTCAGTTTGGTGTACTGTTTTCATTCAGTCTCATTGCTCTAATCCATATTGTTTTAAGACATGACAGGTTTTAGTGTAAATGCTCTGTACACTTCTATAGAAGTGCAGAAAAAGTTAGAGAAAAGTTTGGTGGAAATATACTGGAGAACTTAGAGAGTAATTCCCTCAGGAGCTAGTGGATGGAGAAAAAAAAGTGTGTGAGTGAATATCGGACTTAAAATCATTGAGTTGCCCAAAACACGACTCCAAGTGAATGTTAATGTTTCCCTGTGCCTGCTGAATGTATAAACAGCCGTTTGCTATATGATGTTTGCTAGTTCAGTTATAGTTTATTAGACAAAAGTTTAGTAAAACATACTGTAGTAAAAAAAAGATCAGCATCTAAGACATTGTCAGGGATAACACAACAAAGACGAAGACTTATTTCTATTGTGGTCACTAATGTTGAATTAGTCTGTCCTCACCAGTAGTTCAATGTCCATAGCGATCACATAATGCCACATCAAAGAACAACAATCTACTAACCAATAAAAGAATAATAATGCAACAGGTATATGTTTATCATGTAACATTATTTTCATTTAAGGTTGAGTTCACATGAATAATTTTTTTTTATTTGGACCCCAGAAACAATAGCTGCTGTGATCCATATTAAAAATGTTAAAAATGGTGTACTAGGTGCGAAATTTAACATAAAGAAACATTTAGTCATTTAATCAATAATACAAGATTCCTATTTGTGCCAAACGTCTTCACAGCCATACAATCTGGACAAAAAGCTGAATTTTCTTTTCAGGTTTTCTTGGGTTGTCTCACCCAGCCTCTCTTCCAACACATGGTGGTTTAATTGCAACATCGACTGCAGTTATTACTGTTTATTTCAAGGTCTTCCAAGAGAAGCCTCTGGCCCTCCAGACTTCGAGAAAAACACAATCCTTTTAGGTTTATATAAGCTTGCGAGCATGTCATAGGGATTCAGGTGGTGTCTTGAATCAAATTAGAGGCCATGTGTATCATGGATTATTGGGTTACCATGTCTCTGGAAGGCATGATGCCATTACAGCTGCTGCAGCCACCCTGCATGATATTTCCACTTTCCCTTCACATGGGGGACATGAAGCCTGTTTCTCACTGACAATTTACTTCATGCCCTTTTTACATTATTTGTTGGCTTCATTTAACCTTATTAGCCTCATATTGACTGTGGTTGCTGGCAGTTCGGTCGCACTATGCAGGAAGCTGCACAGTGGAGATAAGAACACATTTAGCTTCAACAGGAACAATTTGTCATTGTCAACTGAAATAAATCCAGTGAGACAAAGAATGTGTGAGAGAGAGGGTGACAAAGGTGGAAGAAAGATAAAGCCATTTGTGTGTATCACTCTCTGACCTTTCTCCATTTCCATCCTTCTGGATCACGGCAGACAGTAATGTGCAGCTTTCATCAAAAGGAAGTGGGACCATTCTATTCAGAGAGGGGAATATGTGATTCGTCATTATTTTCTTTCTCTCCACTTATGTTTTGATCTACCATTTCTGTTTACAAACTTCCAAAGCCACCAGTGAATTTCCTGTTCTCTTCCTTTTCAACTAAAAGATCTGAGATACTTCTTTTTTTCTTTTCTTTCTTTTGTCGGCTGTTTTTAAAGCTTTCCAATCCAAGTCACATCCCAAACCTTCATCAGCAAATTGCAAGTCAGGATGCAAGTCATTCACGTCTCTGAATGATGACCATTACACTGATGCAGCATTTAAAGGACAAATATGTAAGCTATAGGAGCATCCTGCAGTGTAATTGCGGATTGTAACTCCCTCGCTTGACCTTCCCCTTCCAATCACAAAGGAGAAACTATGGTGGCTGTGAAATGCAAACGGCACATTCTGAAGCCAGTGTTTGGTTTGTCCGTTCTGTTGTAGAAACCGGGCGGTTCAAAGGCTCATTCTAAGGTAACAAAAGCATAACGATTCAGGTGATTATATATTGTTTAAAAAACATAGTTATGCTTATTATTTTACATTTATGCCAAAAGATCCCACTAAATATGACACACTGGACCTTTAAACCTAATCCTTTTCAACCATAAAAACAGGTATTCACCTATGGGTACACCAGATACCTAGATATACAGACACTCATTACCTTTCTTAAAAGTTTATAATTAGGCAAATAAGCTTAGCTAACGGATTACTTTAATAATGGCTATAGGCACAATGCCTGACACAATATTATAGTTAAATGTCCAAAATAACCAAACACTATTTCTGTTTATTTTTGGTACAAAATAAACCAACCAAACAATGCAATAAATACAATTCAGATCTGCATGAACATCAATAATTAAAGGCAAATGTCTTACAGGATAAATGTGTGCTGTATTGTAATAAGCTGTGTGGCTGCTGTGAGACATTACTTAAACCTTTCTGGACATGATTTTAATTTAGGCCTGATAATGAAATATGGAATCTATGCGGCATGACTACATATATAAGTCCCACCTGACGTTATGTAATTTTATTGCCTCAGGATTTTTACAGGGCAAAACGGATCGTTTCTCTCAAGTCTCAATTCAATTTTATTTGTATAGCGCCAATTCATAACAGAAGTTATCTTAGGACACTTTTCAAATAGAGCAGGTCTAGACCGAACTCTATAACATTATTTACAGAGACCCAACAGTACCACTATGAGCAAGCACTTGGCGACAAGGGCAAGGGAAAACTGCCTGTTAAAAGGCAGAAACCTAGGACAGATCCTTTGGCTCTAGGTGGGTGGTCGTCTGTCTCGACCAGTTGGGGTGAAAGAGAGAGAGAGAGAGAGAGAGAGAGAGAGAGAGACAGACAGACAGACAGACAGACAGACAGACAGACAGACAGACAGACAGGTGCACAGCAACAACAGTAGCAACAACTACACGAATAGTAGTGACTTATCATGATGAACATGACAACAGCAACGATGGGGGACAATGAGCAGTGACAACAGCAACAACAGTAACCGTAGCTATAATAAGACTTAATAATATAATAATAATAATAACACTAATATCAGTGATATTGGCAATGGCAGTCAAGCAGGACCATGGCAGGAGGCTCAACCAGGATCCATGAGAACCTGTGAGACGAAAAAGCACAAGAACTCCGGGGAAGAAGTGAAGTTAGTAACATGCATTAATGGGACATGAATGAGTGCAGAAAGAGAGAGGAAGAGAGGAGCTTAGTGCACCATGGGAAATCCCCCAATAGTCTAGGCCTAGGCAGCATAACTAAGGGATGGTTCAGGACTCACCTGAGCCAGCCCTAACTATAAGCTTTATCAAAGAGGAATGTCTTAAGCCTACTCTTGAATGTGGAGAGGGTGTCTGCCTCCCGAACCCCAACTGGAAGCTGGTTCCACAGAAGAGGAGCTTGGTAACTGAAGGCTCTGGCTCCTGTTCTACTTTTAGAGACTATAGGAACCACAAGTAGCCCTGCATTCAGAGAACGAAAATTCTATTCTAAATTTTACAGGGATCCAGTGCAGAGAAGCTAGTACAGGAGAGATGTGATCTCTTTTTCTACTTCCTGTCAGTACCCGTGCTGCAGCATTTTGAATTAATTGGAGCATTTTAATGGACTTATTGGGGCAACCTGATAATAAAGAGTTGCAGTAATCCAGCCTTGAAGTAACAAATGCATGGACTAGTTTTTCTGCATCTCAAGTCCTCATATTTAAGAGTCAGGTCTAAGTCTTTCTGTAGGTTTCAAGTCACTCTTTTCCTGCATTTTAACTTGTATTTATGCATGTTGTCTGTGTGCCAGTGTGTCACATGATTGACGCATTTGTCCTTCTGTGAGAGTTTCCTCCCATTTCATCCCTTGCCTGAATAGCAAATGTAAATGAGATCCGTAGCATCTTCAATTTCTTGAATGATCCCATTACTATACAGTAGGTGCTCACTGAGCAAGGGACAGGTCTAATTAACTTTTCAAGTGGTTCCCAGGTAAAAGAAAACACATCTTATTCACGTTCCTCCAGGGATTGAGTCCCTCCACGGTTTATGAGACCACTCAATCCTGAGACATCAGCTCCACACTTCTCTCGATTGAGGAGCTAGAATGAAGCAATGTGATGTGGTGAAGTGTCCAAGCGGATTTAAAAATCTACCACAACAGAGAGAAAAGATGATCTGAATCAGAGATAAAAGTGTTGGAGAATGAATCAACGGGTCTCTTAAACCTGCTGCCCTTGAAAAATATACAACATACATTTGAGGGATATAAAGTGGATTCTTAAATGGATGTGCTTTGAAATCTGAAGACTGCACAGTAGCTCTCCTTTAGTTTCCCTTTCAGGAGGTGGGTTATTATTTCCACCAAAGCATACTCCACAGTGTGCTGCATCTAGCCTTTCTTGGAAGAATTACATCTTTTCCTCGCAATCTCAGCAGACCCTTAAAGGTCATCAATTGTAGCAGCTCACAATCTATTAATGTATTTTATGTGAAATGAAAAAAAAAACCCAAGAACCATTGTCACAGCAGCATAATGAGCTTCCTTCCCAGCTGATAGCAGTTCTTAATAATGTGTGATCTCAGTTGTGATCTACTCTATTCAGAGTGTTGGCGGTAAGCTGGTGAAACATGAAGTCAAATTTGTTGATGAAAATCTTGTAGAGCCAAAACTTGAACATGTCATAAGACTGATTTCAAATCTTCCTTTACTAAATAACTGAGTCTTTTTCAATGAGTGGTGTTTAAATGTGCTTTTATTTGAGGACAGACCATCAATATGGCAACATGGCTCACCGCAAGGCCGCTCAGCAATGCGTAATTCAGTAGGAATTTTTTCTGTAACATTTCAGTGAGTGGCTTATTCATTATGACGTCAGACCTACTGAAAGAAAGCTATGACCTGATGACTAGAGGCACAACACCCTAAATGATTACAGCAAATCAATACAGGAAGGTGTTTTATTTATATTCCACCGCTTACACCAGCATTTTCATCATTGAGATAATCGCTTTACAAGATAACATGCTCTGGTCTTTCCCTGAGGCAATGTTATTTTTCTGTAACATATTAGTTGTACTGTGTACTGTGAATGTTGCATGGCCATATTATAGACACATGAACACGATATGGTCCAGTTAACTCTATGAGCCACCACACTGTGAGTAAGGATATGTAATATATTATGTTGACCACCCTGAGAGCAACAAATAGTGAGAAATAGCTGTAGTATAAGCACAAGCACAAGCACAAGCACAAACACAGCTACCTAATAGTTAGAAATGTGTCACACAGAGAAGCTAAAAGCCTAATTAAGCATGGTATCAGTTTGGTTCTTTTTTTTAATATATATGTTTGGGCTTTTTTTGCCTTTAATTGATAGTGACAGCTGAAGAGTGACAGGAGGACACACATGTGAACTACTAGGGCGCCCCTCAAAAAGCAAATTTCACAAAGGCAACTAAACTGATTAGACTGAGTGTGCACCCCAAGGAGAAGAAGAAGAGTGAGGAAAGTAGTTCTGATAAAAAATCAGTTGTGTTTCTTCAATAAATTGTTAAAACTGAGAGCCTAGGTTGTCTAAAAGTCAAAATTACTGCACTCTGTCAAAGACAAGGGCACGGACCAAAGAGTAATGGCTTAGCACCAACTTTGGTGTGCTTCTGCCAGAGCGGATTGAATTATGTTCTATAAAAGTTTAATGGGATTTCAGCTCGCCTAATATATAAAAGAAGGCCTGCGAGACTGTCGCTGTGCTTTGGTCCTTCCTTTATAGCTCTCTGCTCTCTGTACCATCTGAGACAGGATTACTGGGCAGGAAGCTGCCAAACAAACAGCTGAGTGGACACAATGTTTCATGGTTTGTATTTTGATTCACTGGTGGAGGCACATTAAATCATGCAGCAAATCACATTTAGGCAAACATAAGCACACCTTTTAATTCTAAAGTGTCTTTCTCAGCCTCTGCCCATTACAACGCTGAGCAGTGTAATTTAGAAGTGTGTTTAGCACTGGTCCACATCTTAGGGTGGAAAATTCCACTTACAACACTATTAGTCGAAAGTGCATCTTTGCAACTCCTAAACCTTTTCATGCAGAAATAAGGCATTTTCTAATGAGCTTTTGACAAAGAAAAAACAAACAAAATCAATGTGTCCAGTCAATTCATTTGGCCACCACTGCAACTTTTGTTGTTGTATTGTTTTTCTGTACAGTTCTGGTTGATCTGCTCTCTCTCACATGTGACATATTTTATACCAAAAAGACATCTACTGAATTGAGTTTCATGCACTGCCGTATTTACTATCTTGAGGTACAATGCAAGACCGTTTCATCATTTTTCGGTAGTTAATAGTTCAAGGTTGTCAAATGTCCTCTACCACTATGATTAAAATTGCTCAGTGGGTAAACAAGTCCTCCTCGTACTTTTATACTTAGCTTCAAACATCTTCAACCCTGTATATATTCTGAATTGTATTTTGAGTCTTACAATCAGTCATGAGAAAAAACATATTGTATAGGGTATATTGTCCTGGGTTATACTTTTCAAAATTGACATGCATGCAGTCTCATATTAATAACTTCCAGTGGAAAAGCCTGGATGTCAGGGATGGTCAGGGTATTGGATGGCCGCTGTTTAATGAGTACCCTGTGGAGTTTTCTTTTCAAACAGTTCTGGTTTTTTACACTTTCCATATTTCTCACTATTTTAACCACATTTGCCTTTTAAATGCAATTTATTTTTCTAACAACTACAACTAAACATTTGCTTTTTTTAGATGCTTTGGTACCAGCATTGTCCACATTGCCTTGTTATTGTCCTCTTTTATATACACATTCCAAGCTTTACAGCACATAACATAAAAGGTAGTAATGTACTGGATATTATGAACACACTTTTGTGTTAAATGTCACTGTTGTCACAACATCCCCAAAGGGATAAATGTGCAAATATATTTTTGAATCAATGTGACTTTTACAGACAGCAGAGTTACAACATGTTGGTCAGACATTTCTGAATTCCTCTGAGACACAATTGCTTTTCTGTCTGGCCGGACTCCTGCTGTGCTTCATTTACATTCAGACAGCCAGTCCCAATTTTACCCAAGGCACGGTGCTAGGTATTCTACAAACTCCAAGACGTCTCAGAATTGTATTACATATAGAATAGGTAAAACAAAACATACAATGCATGAATGAGTACATAAGAATGATGTTTTAGATATTATTGTCTCATAAGCCACAAAAATCATATGTGATTTCATGATATGTGTATATACGTATGTGTCACTTAGCTACATTTGAAAGCCTTTGATCAATGTGGCCATTTTTATGGTACCTACTTACAGTATTCACACTACAGCTGGATTAATGTTGCATTTTTGTCACAGTTAATTAAAAATCTAAGTCGTTTAGTTATAAAAACATTAACCATGTTTGTAGTGACAAAGGAACAACACAATACATTTTACAGCATTGCAAAGTGCTAAATGTTGTGTTTTCACAGTGATCTTTTTAGACAGACAGAATATTACAATATCTAGCCATTAACTACTGCAAAGCAGGCAGCAACACATGCACATATTCTGTATAGCTGAAAACAGCTTGCAGGACCCCCAGCGTGCACTTATCTCCAGCCCTGTTTCCATGATTAATGCATCCACCAGTAGAATGGGTAAAGGAATAAAGTTTGTAAGCAGGAGGCACAAACTAGATGTTTCTCTAAAAGTCACAATACTCAGCAGCTATAATTGTTTTAACTTCTGCATGACCGACCAAATGCTAATTGCTTTTCAAAAGCTGTGGGATGCAAAATGCACATGGATCAACAATACAGCAGTTGTGACTGCATGCTAGAGACTCGGTGGCTCCATTGCCTGGTGGTTTTCTGCTGCAGAACTTGAATGAATTACCCTGAACCAGTGATATGAACCACATTAAATGCACTGTAACATATGGATGCAGAGGAGGTGTAGAAGTCCTCCTCAAGTGGGAAATATCATATAGTGCATGTCAAAAAGAAAATGATCTCATTCAACTTAACTTGTTGTTTTGCATTCAAAACAGCCGAAATGCAGTGACTTTGCATTTGGGCTGCACATCATGCGGTTTTCTGTAAATTACAGACGTTTAAAGACACATCTCACAACAAAGCTACTGCTGAATAAAATGTGATGCACACATTCTTACAGAATTGTATACATACAAAAACTCTTTTCCTGAGTAATTTATTTTTTGGTTCGTTTTTTTGACTAATTTCTTTTTCCTGTTTTACGGAGTAATTTTTTCTGTTTTTCGTGGTAATTTTTTCCCCCATGGCCTTTTCTTCTGAACAACCGCAAAGTCCTCAGGTGCCTGCATAGAGTCGACAAACTAATGATAATACCATCTATATGACTTAAAGACAGGACTATCTCCCAGTGTCTTAAACCCAGATCAAAGTAAAACTTGACTGAACTAAACAAGGCGGTCATGTTTGTTTCCGTTAAATCGAGCTCTCAATAAAGGAATGAATGCGTCTATTGTTTCAAATCCTCTCTAAACTCAGAAAAAAAATTTGTCCGAAAAACTGAAAATTTTTTTTTTTAGAAAATCAGAAAAAAATAACTCTGAAAAAATCAACCATTAAAAAAATTACTCTGAAAAACAGAAAAAAAAATTAATTGCTCAGAAAAACACAAATAATAACTCAAAAACACAAACCAAAAAATACATTTTCAAGTGAATGCAATACACTTCCGTAGCACAAGGCTGAAATGACTGAAAAAAATACTGCTAATTTATGTAGTAATTACACTCTCAATGGGCAGCCTCTTTTTCTGTTTGTGTGGCCACAATGCAAACGTCATTGTGGAATGGGACAATGGGCAGACAATCATACTGAAAGGATGAAAAGCAGCAGGCATCACAACAAGCCACTGAAAACAATGAAGAAGCAGATGTTCAACAGCATCACTTATTCAGAATCTGTGTCTATGGTTGCACTTATGTAAAGCCAGCTTGCACCTATATTTTGCTGTTTTGGCCCTTGACACACTTGATGGTATTATAATACTCCTCAAAGCTATTTTTCTTTGAAAATAAAATAAATAAATAACAACAGCGATAATATACCATCCAACCTGTGGGCTTTTAGATTCACTTTGTCATGGAAAACATTAAACCTATAACATGGCGATGGCCACACCAGAGTCATAATGACCCTTCATCTGAGTTATTCTGGCAGCTAGCATGAGCAGCAGGCCAGTGGCCACCTCCAGGCTGTAGGAGAGCCAAGCTGTGGCTAAGGACCAGCCGAAGGACACATCCACATTGGCGAGGTTCTCCGGGGACACCATCCGCTGGAATTCCTCCATGGCCTGGTTGGAGTATTTGATGTAGATGCTGACCCCGGTAAGGGTAAAAAGACCTGATGGCGCACAGAAACAGACAAATGGCACCGTTGGAAAAAACAAGTCACCAAATTCCCTTGCACCTGGAACATGGAAATGGTTACGTCTTGACAATTAGAGACCCTTGAGCTGCCTAATCACACACCATAATCAGCATGTATTAAACATACTCAGTTTTTACAATGAGGTCATTAAAGTAATAATGCATTAATTATCAAATAATCCTTTTCCAACATAATTGTCCTCACATAAGTCAAGAGATGGCATTACAGAGTCCAATAATGAGAAACAATTTAGCATTAAAGATCTAAAGCAGTTTCAGGACAAAAATCTTTCTCCCAGTCATGTCCAAATTATTCGAGCAAGGTTCTTCTCAATTTAATCCGATAATTTACTAAACAGGAGAAACCTGTGATGTAAGTATGGAGTTTGTATATATTTATATATTGTCTTTGATCCCTTCATCTTTTTTTCCCAAAGAGACACATGAAACACCTCGCATTATCACAATTACCGCAGAGTTGAGCTGAAAGGTATAACTGAATGTCAATCCCAAAACCCCTTAAATATCAAGTAGTGGCTACTACATGCAGAACTGACCTTTCGTGTGGCAAGGCAGAAGGCAGAACCACTACACACTGCACAACGGTGTGCTGCAATTAACCTCCGTTAATTACTGATCATTACAAATCACAACTGTGGGCTTCTCTCTGAATGTCAAGTTGTGTGCCTAATTTTCATGTACAACAGAGTAGAAAGAAAGAAAGAAAGAAAGAAAGAAATTTATATGTGTAGTCTTATGTGTACAGTATGACTTATAGTTCCCTTGCACTTTATGAGGTCTGAACTGTTACTGCACCAATATTGTACTGGAAATGATGGATTTGCTAAAGATCATTTAAAAGCAAAGCTATTTTAATAGAGTGAAAAGAGTAGTTTTTTAAAACAACCCTGAGTTGCAGAGAGTCGAAGCTGATAAAGAAGTAAATTGTGTCCAAGATGGAAATGTCAGTTTTGTCAGATCTCACATTCCCAGAGGCCTGTCCAAAGTCCAAGGATTCAGATTCATTTATACTGCAGTACGTGATGTGAGTGTTCAGAATGGGATTTCAAAGACATATTGATGCATAGCTCAACATAAAATTTGTGTTTGAATATACCATCTCTCATACTAACATTTCAAACTCAAAAATAGGTTGCTGATGTATAAAAGGGGGGGCAGAACAAAACACTGAAATCCATTACCCCTTTTCTGTTTACCTAATGTCAGAGGTGGTTTTTGAAAGTGGAAGAGCTTGCAGGTCTTTTGATGTAGAGATGTGGACAGGACATTCGGTGCAAAGCATGAATTTAGCTGTCTCTTCTGTGTGACATGGGAGGCTGGCCCTGTCAGCAGAGATGGTGAAGTATATAATAATACCTTCTACTTCTGTGACGGATTCATGCATTCACCCTCAAGCTCACCCAAATCGAGATTCAAACTCATTCCCTTTGAGTTCACACCTTATTAAATTCATTCTTTGATGGATATTGTATTTATTGTGACTGGTCAACGGTTGAATCCACCATGGTGAAAGAAAAAAGCAATCTTACTGTTACCGTACTGCTGATGAAAGCATGTCCTTGTAGGGTCTCCTTATGGTATAGACCAAACGTATGGCATGTCTGCTCAGAGGACTCTCCTGTTTCATCAGAGAGGCTGACAGTTTTATCTTTGAGCTCCTATTCAGTTGGACAGTGATGTCTCAAGCATAGGGGTGAAAAAAATAAAGAGGGCACCATGAGGTCAAGACCTGGTGCGTTGATGGTGAAACAGTTCCAAACCCTGTTTCAGATTAAAAAGAGTTTATTATGTGACTCTAGGCCTATGTGGCACTGCATTGTGTTTTCTCCATTTTAAGTGTATTTTAGTGTACTGCAACACATGCTGTCTACTGTAAGGGCACACAAGAGGGCACTTTATCAAGTTTCACACACCATAGGGGCATCAGAGAGTCCATCAGTGCTTTTGGAAAGTCTTACATCTCACTGTTTATAACACAGGTTGTTTATCCTTTGCTGGCTGCTTTAAAAAAACAACAAAGAGGCATAAATTAAAAGTATAATCATGTATCCAGGTACCACTACACCACTACTCTCTTCCTTGGGCAGATACAAAGTATGTTGATTGTTTCAAGAGATATATTATGTTTATCAGTCCACCATTCAGATATGAGGCAATTATATTTTAATAAGACTAAAAGTCTACACCAATGCTAGCACTGTACTTTGGCACAGTGGTGCTTTGAGGTAAATGCTAATGCTAGCATAATGGCAACATGTTCACCAAAGGCATCCAGAGGGGAACATGAACGTGTACTAAATGTCACAGCATCCAGTCATCTATCTAATAGTTGATGATTTATTTCAGTCCTGACAAACCCACTGACCATTTGACCACTCAGTTTCTACAAAAAGGAAATAACATTTTGTTGATTTTTTTCTTTTATTTGAAAGCCGTTTAAAACTTAGAATGACACGAAAAAGAGCCTGCTGATGGTTCCAGGGGGATGTCTGACAGAAGCTTTCAATCAGGGCAATTTGCAATTTTGTGCCACTCCATCATGATCAGCAATCACTCCACATGCTTTGATCAATACTGTTAATTATGTCCATATCCAATGTTTGGTGTCTAAAATCATGTCGAGGACCCAGCTTGCAATCATGATTTATTTAATGCAAATCTAACTGGAGGTAAGACAATCATGTCCTCAGTAAATCATTACCTTTCTACAGCATAGTGTTTGTTAAACCTGCGGCACCTACATGTGTGAAATGTGCTGCCCACACACTTTTTCTTGCGCTGTACATCTTGCACTGACATACTATAACTAAACAAAGCATTCACTTCAGATCAGCCTACACACAAAGCACATATAATTGCTAAGGTTCAGAAAGAAAAAAAAAAACATTCGAAATTCTGTGTGGACTTACTGCAGAAGAGAAAGTAGGATGCTGATCCAGCCAGCAAGTTGGGACTGCTGGCCAACGAGCTGACAAGCCCGAAGATCCAGCCAAACACCAGCAGGACCAGGCTGAGGGGCAACATGATGACCACCACCTTGTGCAAGCCTGCAAACACACATGTGCACATACACGGTTCCGGTGTTTAAAGAATGGATTATTGCTTCAGACTTCACTACAAGTCAGCTGAATTTAGAATTGTTGCTGAGTACAACCATTTGCACATGCAGTGAAGACTTTCAGATTGATTTCTCACCATCCAGAGAGCCATTGTAGGTTTTCATTCCCATTGTCAGTAGGGTATGAAAATCAAGATAGCTTCTGTCACAGTTACAATTTATTACTGCATTTCAGTGTCAAAAGTGCAGGGACTGTTTCGGGAGACACACACTATTCTTTGCAAAATGTTTGCCTGTTGTATGTCTTCTGGATTAGAGTTTTCTGACAGAAAACTGTTGCTTGAAAACGTAATTTCTTCAGCAGCCAGCTCACTACTTTAAATCCGAATCTTTATCACCTCTCATGTCAGTTGATAAATAAAACCATCACTCACCAAGAAGGTGCCTTTCTGCCTCTGACAGGCTGGACATATTTGCTGTGAAAGAAGGGATGACCGAGCTCCTGTTTGCTCCTGAAAATGTGAAAGGAAAAGGTCACACATGACAGGATGTGTGGACAGAGCTGCAAAATTGTTACTGGATACCAAACATTGTCAGTTTCTTTTATCATAGTGATGTATAAATGATGATATTTATAAATATAAACCATTAACACATTCGATTAAGCAAACCAATTAAAGACATTGGTATGACACATATCTCCTCAGCCCTACATGTGTGACAATTTTGCTCCAAGACTTTGTGTCAGTGCATTTTCCACTCTTGCCGATATGTCACAGGTGAGCACTGCTTGAAGAGCCTCAGACTATGGTATATGTTGTGTCATTACTTGACATTTACTCTGTGAACTGTGGGCGCCACCAGACACAAATTGGACACCTCTGGGACCCCAAGCTGTGCTGCCAACAAGCAAATTATATTGCAGCTGTGCTGAAAAATATCTTTTCGCATCTCTCTGCAGCCTCCTGCGTGTTTGCCTGCAGCTCCCTTCAGGCAGCTGATACAGATGTGAGGGGTTACAGTTGTTATTACTTGGAAAGGAGAAAAAAAACATTTGCAATCTAATTTAATATATCTGTTATTCCTGTGGGATTCACCCCTCCCTGAATGAAAAGTTAAAATGTAAGAATCTTATTGGGGAGTTAATAAATCAGTACATAGCCCATAGCATATAGAGTGTTAGTAATTTATCCCTGCAAGCTAAAATCACTTGCATGTCACTTCTTCTGTGCACCAGTGTCACAAAACTGAAATTCAGCTTTTTGCAATCATGAGTTTTCCAATGGAGTAATGAGAAATAAACACACAGATTCTGCAGTGGACTCCAGCTGACAAGGCACACACACGGTAAGGCAGCAACATCAGACATATGATCATAAATAAAAGGCTATATAATACTGTTCGATCGCAACAGCATCACATGTAATACACTCCATCGATTTTCCTTTTTTAGTCAATATTGTGATCAATGCTTGTATTTGCACAAGTCAGAACGTGCCTGATTCCGGACAGATCGATAGAAAACCAAAAGCCTTCAGTGCCTTTCACACTCAATAGTGTCGTGAGAATAAGCGCAAAAGTTAAAAATGAAGGCTGCGTCCGATTTTATTACAGCTATCTTTCTCGCTCTCATACACACACACACACACACACACACACACACACACACACACACACACACACACACACAAACCATACTTGATTAAGTATTAAACCCCCCCTGAAAGAGATAACATACAAACTACAGACTATAATGTGTAGGCTTAAACTAACATACCTTCATTAATTCTCCACAGTCCAGAATGTGAACTCAGGTCGTCTGGACCTGTATGGTTGGGTTTATTCACATCGATGATGTACCAGTAATCAGTCCCAATAGCCACAGCGAGGAGGCTAAAACTGAGCAAACCTGTAAAGCCAGCAGTGAGGACCACCAGTCCGTACCTCATGATACAGTCCGCACGCAGAGCGCAGTTACTCTAATATTCTGTGAAGTTTTTAAAATATATTTCTACACTGTAATCTGCGTCGACGCTCCAAGATGTGCGACGCGTAAAAGCTCTCCAGCTGGATCCATCCCTGTAAAGTGCTGGCTCTCCACGGCTATCGCGGACCGAAAATGTAGTTTCGGGTGGAAACTGAGAAGAAAAAAAAGATAATCCTTAAACTGTTTCCAGTTTACTTTTAAAGGGGAAAAACACGAAAGAGAAGAGAAGAGAGATGCGTCTTCTTCCTCGGCACCAGTTTATAACACACCGCCATGGAATTGGGGCTGACGGAGGAGACAAGTTAAGGGAATAAAACGCCACACTTCCGCTGCGGACTTCCAAAATAAAACCCCGACTGGGGAACATGAAGGTGCTTCATTTAAATGTTTTCATGCATAATAGCCCACATCCGGCCACAGTTTATTTATCTGATGTTGACTTGAGAGTTACAGTAACTCAAATGTAGCCTGTTTTCAATAGCAACATTGGCTGATACTGTGACCAGATATTGATCCGACTCTGCCTTTGTGTCACTGCCCGTCAATAAATAGAAATGCTTTCTAAGATGAGGTAAAATTCCCAGACTTAATCAATATTTAAGGCTAGGAACATTGCCTGCACCTACAGTAAATAACAGACACATAAAAGTCCCCCTGGTTATGTGTTACTTACACTCAAGAAGCTCAGTTTGAATGGTTACATAAAAAAAAATGTTTAATAATAGTTGCCTGTACTTTATGACCAGGCACTTAATCTACTCACCTGTCTTATGGGTAGGGTCCTACAGGTGGGGCAGCTCAGATAATTGACGTTGTGCCTCTCTGAGTCCAAATGGGAAAAGAAAAAAAAGTGTTTGGCACTTTGGCACTAGTATCTGTCTCTGAAGTCTTTTTACAGTTAAACCAGAGTAAATGTGATAAAGTTTTATGTACAGATTTATGTAAATTAAATACAATAATTATCGCATCATTCACCCCTTTCAAGTCAATGTGTAATAGAAGTGCCTTTGGCGACAATTACAGCCTACGAGTCTGTGTGGGTCTGCCAGCCTCGTACATTTGGACAATACGTTTTCACCCCCATTATTCCTTGTAAAACTGCCCAAGCTCTGTCAAGTGCCATGGGGGCCATGAGTGAAAAGCAATTTTCAAATCCTGCTACATTTGTCGATTGGACTGAGGCTGTGTGACCCTGACTTGGCCACTACTCCAGGATATTTTGAAGCCATTCCTGTGTATCTTTATGGCTATAGTTACAGTATGTTGGCTGTTGTTGTTTTGCTGAGAATAAATCTTCAAAGTTATCTTGCAGACTGCAGCAGGCTTTCCTCATTCTCAGAATTCACCAGAAAATCTGGCTGTTACTTGTATTTTCAACCTCTTTTGATTTAAAAGAGTGGTGTAAAAGCAGATGAACACACAGAAAAGAGGCGGAGGAGGATTTCAACATACATCCTTTTAATGATCAGTGAAAGTTCAGTGTCGTGGACATGATTCTTTTTCATATTGACTAAGATTGAAGAAAGCAAACTGATTTTAAAATTCCAGCGCCTTATGAACAGTATACTTGGTTATTTCACCATGTCAGAAATAACCAAGTATCTATTCATTTCAGATCTTCTAAGAACAATGGACATGAAATCATAAAACAGTTTGAGTATGGCACTGTGATGCAATTGGAAGATGTAGTGGGTGTCTTGTTAAAATCCACAACCATCATAAATAATGTAAACTGTCCAGACAGCTCACAAATAAAAACACAACGGTAAAGCCTTGACAGCCAACCTAGAAGTTCCTATATAACCAAACTTTCCTCTATGTAGTTTATTTTTGTTGGTCAGAAATAGGTTGACAAAGGTAGAATTACTTATGGCATGACATATTTTGTACCTGATTGTAGCCCTTTTTTATAAAAAGCCTCATACGTTCACAAAAGACATCCAAGGGAAGGAAAGATTGATTTGTCGAGTGTAGGATGGGAAATTAAGTTCTTCTTGGTCTCTGCAATTTTCCGTGCCATCAAAACTTGTATACCCTATCTGTAGTTGAATTACCTTTCGATTCAAATGCATCCACTGTGATGTGTAGGTGAGTCAGAGGGGTACATTGAAATAATGTTTCTCAAACTTTTTACACTGCGCATCATATAGTGTAGGCCTACCCTGTTCATCTATGGCCTGTTCACAAAGGAGTCAGCTTTATTCCTTTATTTCATTTAAAAAGACATATATATTTCTGAGATTATTCCGCATACCACTAGAGGGAGCTTGCATACCACCGGTGGTACGTGTACTATAGTTTGAGAACCAGTGCAATAAATAAACCATGCACTGAAACATAATTCATTTAATTAGTTTAGAGCTGCACAATTGATCAAAATATTATCAAAATTGCAAGAGCAATGTTCTGATAAAAGGTAAAATGTGTGACAAACAGCATTATAATAAAGTACTGCAGTGCAGCAGAGATGCCCTTGCCTACAGATATTGTTCTCCAGAGAACATGATAGAGACCCCTAAAAATTCCGCATAGACATGATTTTTTAAAAATATATTTGTTTTAGTGAAAATTCAATTTGTGATGCAAAAATGATAATTCCGACTATAATCGTGAATCGTATTGCAATCGCAATATTTGTCAAAATAATCGCAATGTGGTGTTTTTACCATATTGTACAGCCCTAGTTTAGTTCAGAGCACATAGGCAAACTAATCATGTCTTCTTGAAGGGGACATCGCCGTGACGTTTGCAGAGCATCCAACATGATTATTGAGTGGATATTCTTTCATCAGAGTATGCTGTCAGTTCTGTTATAGGATGGATATTTCGGATATAAGTTATCTTTTCAATGAGGTATTTTGTCTAAAATAAATAAATAATCCACTATATTTTATATTTCAAAACAAAATGTCTGCTAAAACTGAGGTTTTATATTATTTATTTTTTTATTTTGTTTCAAAAACAATTTTTTTTAATTGAAAATCAGCTTTTTGCACAATTCCAAGAAAAGGTTTAACAGCAATTAATCATCAAACAGATCTGATCCTTAGCATATGTTAGATATGACAAAAACTGTCTAAACAGAGATAATCTATACAGCACAGATGTCTTTCATGGACGACATGGCATGAATAATTAAATCAAACAGTTTTAGAAATGTAGCCTACACCTGTAAACCTGTGTTAAATTGAAAATTGTTTCATTAAAATTACTGAAATGCCATCCTAGATGGAAAGCAGCAATGAAATGCCATGAAGTGTCAGAGTTGCTGTGGCTTAATCTTTTTAACTGCACCTGAGTATTTTTACCTTGAGCATTAGTTGACGCAAACACACAGGTTTGTGCCTTATTTTGCAAGCTAGTATCAATGTTTTATCAGCCATTTAGGATAGAATATTATTGCTGAAATGCTTCATGATGGTCTATGCAGCACTATGCCTCACTAATGCTTGGATTATTGTTAGCAAGATGAACAAGACTTGCCACATTGTCTCTTAATGATCTCTCTGTTGCAGCATACATTTTCTCCACAAAATTTGCGCCCAGGGACCATTACATTCGCTTTTGCTTTGAGGAAAGTAACACAAGTCAATTAGAGGCTTACCTGTGCTCTGTCGCAGGGGCTAGTTCTTGCTGATACTGGATCAGTGAAGCATTGCTGACATGATGCAATAGATTCCTGAGCAAATGATGTTCTAAAGCATTTTGTAGATCACTAAATCTATTCTGTTTTTGCAGATTTATTAGAAGAATAAAGAAGCCACATTATATCCAAACTGTGAAAGACAATATGAAGTTGTGTTAGCAGCGTGATAAACTAACTGAGTGTCAGAAATTAGGAAAAGGAGAAGTCAGAAGTTAACCTCTCTTTGGATCTGATAACAGAACTGAAACTTGGCAGAACTTATTCTGGGTTGCCAGATTTATTTGTGTCCACGTTGTGGTCATTGATGTCTTTCATAATCTGCCTCAGATGTACAGTCCTTCTTGTTGGCTATAATCTGGTTGGTCAAGTTTGTGTGAGGCCTGTGCTGAGGCTGTGGCCAGCTTCCTAAAAAGGACTTGTCTCCATTTTCCTCTGTGTGTAGCTGTGTAATGGCAGGAGCCTGGCTCATTGGCTTTGAGGTGTTTGTCGAATTATATTGTCTTTTTTGGATCCTGATTAAAAGGCAAAATTGGTCTATTTCTGTGCCGAATGGATTGTGTGTTGTGTTACTGTGTTCTTACCAATTTCAGTTTGCAAGGTTTCAGTTCTATGGTAATTGCATTTTCAATAGCCTTGTCAGGACACATCACTACAATATACAATTAATTCAGCTATGGATTTGAATATTTGTTCAGTTTCAGGTTGGTATAGGTGTTGAGATTGTTTTTTGGCATAGAAAGTCCTCCTTTCTTTGTCTTTCCAAGTGAAATGCCCATTGATGTAATTTGTGTTCCTTAGATTCTTATATATAGTTATGCCATGTGATCAATTGTGTTTTTCAGCTATAATAACACACCATTGTTTATTTGTTTATTATATATATGTAGTAACTATTAACTGAAGTTATCAGTGAAATGATCCATGATAGAAAGTCCATCTGTCCCTCATCCTTGTCAGCCTGTCTCACTGGAAAATGATGCGTCCTCGCCTTCCCTCTGAGCCCCTCCTCCACAGGTCTGGTCAACTTCTACAATCACACACTATTCTCCTGACTTGATCATCCCAGTCAAATCCATTCTGGTTCTGCTGTGGATAACTCCTCCCACTCCTTGCAAGCACCACCCTCCCCATCCCTGAATTTGTCACTCCCCCTCTAACAGATTGGTCATTCTTCCAGTTTTCCCTGATCTCTTCCACCGATCTCAACAAAGCACTGTCTGGCATAAAGACTGCCACCTGCGCCCTGGATCATTAGTCAAAGCTTGTCTCCCTGCTATCTGCCTGCTCATCCTCTCTGTCATCAACTCCTCCCCGTCTACTGGCTCTATCCTCAGTTACACCAATCCTCAAAAAGCCTGGCCTTGACCCTGATTTCCCAAGAATTACAGACCCATCTCCAATTTCCCCTTTCAATCTTAAATACTGAAACACACCATTGCTTCCCAACTCAAAACCCACCTGGACTCCCAACCCAACACAGCACAGAAACAGCTTTGATCAAAGTCACAAATTACGTGCTCTTCTCTAATGCCCACTCCCCTCAAATTTCTGATTCTACTTTGACACAATCAACCATTCCATCATCCTCTCCTTGGGTCCTCCCTCAGCATCACTGGCACTGCACTCTCCTGG